CCGCACCCGCGCCTCGTCCGCCCAAGCCCGAGCCCGAGCCTGGCCCGACCGCACCCGCGCCTCGTCCGCCCGAGCCCGTGCATGGTCCGCCTGGACCCCGAGACCAAGCCTGAGCCGCCCGAGCCCGAGCCTGGCCCGACCGCACCCGTCCCGTTCTCAGGGGTGTCGGTGACAGCACCGCACCCTTTGACCGTGACGCGGTGTGACCTGTAAACAGATATCGTTCTCGGGCGTCGGCATGCCCTTGCTGTTGACCTCAGGGTGGCCTTGTTCGAGCCCTGTCCGCCAGCCCAGCCAGGTTTGTGGAGCTCGTGCGAATGGCGCACGTGCTGTTGTTGCAGATTGCAGGTGCTGGGGAAGCATACGGTGACTAAATCGCGCGCGGATTTGAATTACGATTTCGGAATAATCGTTCGTTTGCTCAGCGTTGTGCACAGGATGCCCATGGAAGGCGTTGTCTGGGTCATATAACGTGACCACCTGTGTCTGGCACGTCAGTTGTGTTTGGCTTATCGTCCGATAGTACCTGGGCCAGGTAAGGCGTGCACACCCCTTTCTCTCCCCTCCAGCTGCCCCGCTCTGGCCCGCTGGCCTCCGGCCGTCCGGCCGGTCAGCTGCCGTCTCGGCCATGGCCTCGTGATATCAACAGTCGTGACGCCTGCTGGCGCCCCGGGACGTCACGGGAAGGATTTCCGCGGGGCGTTGCGAGTTCTCACCAGAGTGGCCTGGAGGGCACCACGCCTCGGACACTCCGGGACCGTCGGGACAGCCAGCCGTCTCGTTCGTCGGATACATTTCGAGGGTCGTCCTTAGTTCGGTGACACCATCGCTGACCAGTGCCTGGGACCAGGCAGGGCCATCCCTTAGTCGTCGGATTCATCCCTGACCAGCGTCGGGGACTAGGCAGGGCCACCCCTCGGTTGTCGGATCCACCTCGAGCGGGGCGTCCCGCGGTCGGTGACCCCATCCCTGACCAGCGTTCGAGGCCGGACGGAGCGGCGGCTGTGTCTGATCTGTCGGAACGGCGGCAGCAGCCGGCGCCGCCCCCCGCCGTCCGTGGGACGCCGCTCGCGGCCGGCCGCCAGTGGAGCCCGGGCCGCCGGCGCCAGCGTGGGACGCGGCAGACGGCGCCGGCTCACCCGCCTGAGGTCGTGCCGCCGCCGCCGCCACCGACAACCCGGCTTGCCGACGGCGTGTGCAGCGGGGCGGGACGCTAGCCACGGCGATGTGAGGCGCTCGCCAGCGGGGCGGCGGTCACGGCGGTGGCGCTGACTGTCAGACCGGCCGGTCCGGCCCGGTTCAGTGTGGTCCAGTGAGGCCCCGTCCGGTCCGGTCAGGTCTGGAGAAGCGTCGTGTCAGAGTCGCTGGCTGACCACTGTGAGCGCGGGCACCGTCTGGAGTCATTAGCATGCAGCCGGCGTCAGGTCTCGTGCCGTCGCTGTCCGGACCGGGCTGGGCCGGGCCGGGACGGAGCGGAGCACGCGGGTCCTGTCTGCGCCAGTTTTGCCGCCTACGCCGTCCGAGCGCCGAGGCAGGGAGAGTCGGCGGCTGGAGTGCGCACCATTTCTGCCGTCTGCGTAGCAAACCAAAGCCCGGGGACCGGCGTTATCTCGACCCGCTCACCGGCGGCGGCGGCCAGCCGGCTTTGACGCCGATAAGCCGCCAGCGGCGGCGGACCGCAAATGCCGCCGCGGCAGCTGGGCGGCCGGCGTCGGTAGCCAGGGGGAGGGGATGTCAGCGCTGGGAACCGTCCACAGTCGGCGGGGCGCTCAGCGCGAGCAACTGGAGGGGCTTTGGCGGGGATAGCGCTGGCGAGGTCGACCAAAGCGCGCGGCGTATGTCGGGTCGGACGGCGCCGCGGTGTTGTTCGGATGGGGTGCGGCGTTGTTCTCGCGAGCGGATGGATGCCCCTGGTTCTCCCCTGTCCGCCTGTGTGTGCGGAGGGTCGTCAGAGGCGCGCTTCAGCGCTGTACCCGCCGTGAGGCCGCCGCCGCGTCCGTGTGAGCCAGCGGCGCCGCCCGACTGGTGAGGTATGCGGCCGGCTGGCGCCAGGTGGTCGGCCCGCCGGCCATCTTCATCTGAAGCCAGCTGGCGGTGCCGGCTGTGTCTGCGGCCTGGCCTGGCGGCGTCTCGGTTCGGCTCGGCTCGGCTCGGCTCGGCTCGGCTCGGCTCGGCTTGGCTCGGCCCGGCCTGGCCCGCCCGACTCGTGACCCGGCTCCGTCTGGTCCACCGCCCCCGCCGCCGCTGGCCGGCTGTTGCTGCTAAGTGGAATCATTGTGGCCATTGAGGGTGGGAGCGGGGCGCGGAGCCTGAGCAGCCCGAGTCTGACCCCGGAAGCGGCCCGATCTCCATCGCCGGCCGATGGACGGGGCGCGGCGTCCATTCTGACCGATGGACGGGGTACGACGACTGTTCTGACCGATGACTGAGCACGGCGTCCATTCTGACCGATGGACGGGGTACGGCGTCCATTCTGACCGATGGACGGGGTACGGCGTCCATTCTGACCGATGGACGGGGTACGGCGTCCGTTCTGGCCGATGGGCGGGGCACGGCGTCCGTTCTGACCGATGACTGGGCACGGCGTCCGTTCTGGCCGATGGACGGGGTACGGCGTCCGTTCTGGCCTGCCATGGTCGCGGCCGGTGACCAAGCTCGGGTCCCCTGCTGGAGCCGACCTGCGCTCCCCACACAGAGCTGAGTGTCGGATGCGGACGCCCGCGCCTGACGCATTCTGCTGTCTGTCACGGTATCGATGTTTGCGCTGTCCTTGGCGTGCCACGCTCGCGTAGCGCTGTGGCCCGGAGCATGATCTGCCAGCCGTGGGCACCAGCGTTTCACCTCGCCCCAGCGCTGTTCTTTGTGCGTCATGTCCCGTGCGTGATTCGAATGCATCGACACCCACTTGTCGCCGTTTTTCCTGTTGGGGCTCCACCCGGTGCGTGCGGTGGAGCCGAACTCGCCTCGTCTCCGCCCTTGTCGCCGCTGGTCTCCGCCTTTCCCGTGGATGCCCGTCCGTTTCTGCGGCCGTCCTGCGCCGTCCCGCCTGTGGTCTCGTCTCGTCCGGGCCCGCTCCGACTCCGACCCCGACTCCGACTCCGACTTCGACTCTGACTCTGACTCCGACTCTGACTCCGACTCCGACTCCTCCGACTCTGACTCCGTCGCCGTCGCCGCCTCAGCTCGGGGCGTGCCACGTCCGGCGCTGTGCGGCGCAGCAGTGTTGGCGACCGTCCCCATTGACCCGGCCGGCGCTACAGCGGCGCTGGCCGCCTGGGCGGCCCTCTGACCCGCCCGGGCCACTTCCCGGCCGGTCGGATCGGGGTCACCGGTCGACCGCGGCGCCGGCCGACGCGTCAGGGGCCCGGGCGGCACGCTCGCTCATCCCCAAGGTCGCCTCTCCGCAGCCGGATGAGTGCTCTGTCGCCGCGCCGTCGGTCGGGGTCAGAGGTCATCGCGCCGGCCGGCGCGTCGAGCCGCGTGCGGCCGGGGTCAGGAGGTCAGCGCTGGTTTTTGCCGCTGGGCTGGCGGCGGCGCCGGCCGGCTGGCAGTCGCCGCCAGCCGGCCACCGGCTCGGCCGGGTTGCCGCCGTGAGAGCCACGCCGGCCTCACACGACACGGGCGGTCACGTGGCCGGAGCGGCCTCCGCGCGTCTGTGGGCAGACGCTGCGGCCGCCGGCTGGCGTCGCTGGTTAGCGCGTGGGCAGGGGACACGTGGGCTCGCAGCCGACGGGATAGACCCGTCTGGGCTTGGTTCGTCTGGTCCTTGGTTGTCGTATGGAATCGATTTCGCCACTCTGAGCCGGTAATGGTTCAGTCTGGAAAGCCTAGACGAAAGAGAGCTAACAAGGTAAAGTGAACCCAGTGGCTCTGACGGGTAGGAAGTTCATCCTTAAAATAAATGAGAAGCGGTCCGGAGCTCCTAAAGCTGATTGCCGCATTGCTACGTGCGCCGCACTCTACATCGTTGCTTGGTTTGGGGCCATCACTCTCATAGGACGGATTTACGAGCGGCTGCATTGACCGCTGGCGTCCGGCAGCGGCGGCGCGTGCCCGGTCCGGTCGCTAAGTGGAGCAGAGCGGAGGCGCGTGCGTATTTGTGGAGGGCATAACCCGACGCCGCTGTTTGTGCAGGCCACAGCCCGGCGCTGCTGTTTGCCCTGCCGGATTGTGGTGCCTACAATCTGGCCGGCGCTGGCGACGGCTGCGGTGGTGCCGCCCTGTTGACATTGGGAGGGATCGGCAGGGAACACTGCGCACGGGGCTCACGCCTACTGACGTGCTTTGGATGCGAACACGGGTGGACAAAGCACGTCTGGGGAAGAACTTAGTGCCCTGAACCTAGAAGAACGGGCACTTCACATGGATGAACGCGACCGCGCTGGGAGAGGCAAATCTGATCAGTCTGGCCTTCGCAGCACTCCAGCCGGGGATCGGATGCACAGATGACTTGACGTTGCTACACTGTTCTGTTGCAGGTTGTAGGCGCGAGCGACTTGCAGTGCACCTCGAAGCGACCGCCTGTCGGCGTACGAAGCCAGCGAACCGACCGCGACCGACCGAGGCTACAGAAGCCGACGACTGGACCGTGGCCGTGGCCGTGGCCGTGGCTCCGGGCAGCTCGCGGGACAGATCATCAGCGGGCCGCTGAGGCTGCCGGACGAGCGCCGAGTGGACCACGATGCGCACGCGCAGTGACCGCGAACAGTGACCGCGAGCAGTGAGCCGCCAGTGATCGGAACTCCTGACCATTCCCGTGCCTGTGATCGGCGCCTGAGTCGCGCCCGCTGACCGTCCACTCCGTCCCCACCCTCCGCCCCACCCCCACCTGCCGCCGCCATGTCGCAGCGGTTCAAACTGCGCTCGTTCCTGCGCAGGACCATGAACAAGGTGTCGACGGCCAAGGAGAAGCCGAGCAAGGAGCGGCCCGGCGAGGAGCGCGACCCGTCGGTGGCCGCTGAGCCGGCCGAGGCGGCCGCGTCGCTGCCGACGGCGCCCGTGGCCGCCGACGCCGACCGCGCCGGCCTCGAGAGCACCGTCTCCGAGCTTGTGCACAACGTCGAGGGCAAGAAGCAGGAGATCGCCGCGCTCAAGATGGAGATCAAGCGGCTGAAGGTGAGTGGCGAGGGCTTGCGGCGTTGGCTTCATGCAGCGGCGTCTCTGACACAGGCCGCCGCCTGCGTTCTCTGGCGCCGCTGTGGCGCGGCCTGGAGTGTTGGTGCATGGCGACAGCCCGGTATGTCTCCCCCTCAGATTGGCATTAAGTTTGGAGACTCGACCATCTCGCGGTCTCTCGACGGCCTCGGACACATCGGGAACTCTTGAGTTTCGCCGTGACCTTGGTGGTGCCCTCAGTGCCCCTACATTTCTGGGGACCTTGACTGCTGTCGGACGGTTAGCCCCCAGACGTTTTTTGGACGCCCGTGAATTGTCATTGATTCCGGCTGTGTCTTGCTCAGCTGCGGCAGATTTTGAGAAGGAAAAAAGCACACAACAAAACACTGATTCTTGTTCGTCGAATGTTGGACCTCTAACGCTTCAGATGATCGCGAAGAGTGAGTAGCGTAATCACCTGGCGAATTCCAAATCCTTAAGTCATTTAAGAAGCACGACTTAATCGCACGGGCATTCAAATACCTTAAGTCATCCACATCTCTCCGTCATGTGGAGCTTTTGTACATTGTTGCACCTCCTCGGGGTGTCGGCCGTCTGCTCGTCGGCGGTCCCGTGGCGTCGGTTTGCCTGTGTGTGTGTGTGGGCGCGGTGCGGCCCGGCCGAGGCTGCCCGCCGTCCGTCCGGGCGCGGTGCGGCGCCGGCGCCGGCCTGCCGCTGTGCCGGCCCCCCGGCATGTGCTGACGCCGCCGGTGCGGGGCACCACATGCCGGCCCCTGGCCGTCCGGCGGGGGTCAACAACAGGCCGGTTGCCATTGTTGCCGTCGGCTGTTGACGCGCCGTAGAGGACGCGACCCGACGGCTCGGCGGCACGGAGGCCCGGCGGCGCAGAGGCCCCGAGACTCGGCGCGAGCGGGCGCTGGGCGCGGCCGGCGTCGTCCGGCTGGTCAGGCGCCGCCGCCGCCGCTGCTGCCGCTGAGGTCAGCCGGTCGCGGACGGTGGCCCCGGGGTGGGCGCCGGAGGCCGTGCCGAGGCTGCTCCGCGTGACACCAGCGGGACGGGACGGGTACCGATAGTGTAGTGAGTAAGCTGCGCGTCTGGAAAACCAGGGGTGTGAGGTTCCCCGCGGTGCCCGCCCTTCCTGTCAGGATGAGAAGCGGGCTACGTCATACAGTCTCAGCAGCTGAATGTCGCAAAGCCCCAATGACGGCGGGATTGGGACGGGGACGGGGATTGGGATTGGGATTGGGATTGGGACAGGGACGGGAGCGGAGGCGGGGTCGGGGTCGGCGACGGCGACGGGGGCGGGGGGAAGTCGAGGCAGGACACTAGGCGGTCACAAAAGTGGGCGGCGGCCGAGCGGTCCGCTCCTAGCTGTCCGGCGCCGTCGACAGGCCCCCCGGCCTTCGCACCAGGCCTGCTGATTATTCGATGGGGCTCACACGGTAGCGCAGGACACGCCATGCCCTGGGACGTCGCCATCGATCATGTTTTGTGGCGTCCTGCACCATAACTGTCACAGGCAGGCCGCAGTTTTGGCTTGCCAGGTTTTTTTCTGGCAGCATTTGGCCGAGATCCGATGTATCCGGTTTAGCCCAAGCTGTCGTGCGGATGGCAGTGTACTGTCTTGACTACCGCGACGATTATGCTCGGCGTATGTCTTTGAATGCCGACGAGGGTGTTCATGATGTGTCTCGTGGCTGTCAGCCCGAGAGACAAACTAATGCAAGAGATGTGTCTTCTTGTCAGCATCCATTAAAGTCATCATCCCTGTGACTTCAGCGAAGCGTGGTCGAGAATGAGTGGTCTACGGTCTGTGGCCCGTTCCGTGCCGTCATGCCGTGCCTGGCTGAGATGTGCCGATCAGAGGCCGGCGCCGATCAGAGGCCGGCGCCGAATAGAGGCCGGCACCGATCAGAGGCCGGCGCCGATCAGAGGTCGGCGCCGATCAGAGGTCGGCGCCGATCAGAGGTCGGTGCCGATCAGAGGTCGGCGCCGATCAGAGGCCGGCGCCGATCAGAGGTCGGCGCCGATCAGAGGTCGACGCTGATCAGAGGCCGACGCCATTCTCGGGCCGTCACGACCAGAGGCCGACGACGATCAGAGGCCGACGTCATTCTGGGGCCGTCACGATCAGAGGACGACGACGATTAGAGGCCGGCGCCGATCAGAGGACGGCGCCATTCTGGGGCCGTCACGATCAGAGGCCGACGCCATTCTGGTGCCGTCACGACCAGAGGCCGACGACGATCAGAGGCCGACGCCATTCTGGGGCCTTCACGACCAGATGACGACGACGATCAGAGGCCGACGTCATTCTGGGGCCGTCACGATCAGAGGCCGACGCCGATCAGAGGCCGGCGCCGATCAGAGGCTGACGCCGCGTCCCGCCGACGCGTGCCGTGATTCAGCGGCGGCCGCTGTGCCGTGTCACCGCCGGCCGTGACTAAGCGCCGCCGCTGTCGCCGTCAGTCCGCCCGCCCGCCGTGTGGCACGAGCTGTGTGTCACGTCATGGTATGGGATGTTTGCCGGATCCGACATCCCGGCCGGCCGCGGTGACGACGAGCAGGCTGCTCCCCCCCCCCCCCCCTCCCGCCCTCGTCTGCAGCCCCTGCCGGGCGGGGGCATTAGCCGGCGGGGTGTGCCGCCGCTGCGGCCGGGGGCGTGCCGGCCCGCTGTGCTCTGCTGTCGTCCTACGGCGCCGGCCGAGCGGCGCTGCAGACTGCGGTGCGCCTGCTGCCGACGCCGCGCCCCCGCCGCTGCACAAATAAGCGTGCTGGCCGGCCTGCAGGCTCCGGTCGGCAGGCCGCGCCCCTCCCCTCCCCTCCCCCGCCCCCCGGGCCCGGTTGTCCAGCTGGTCGCACCACGCGCGGACCGGCTGTGGGTAATAACTTGGGGCGGTGCGGTGCGGGCGGCTGGCCGAGGCCGTCATGGCTATAGACATGACGAGGTGCAAGAGGATTCACTGAATCGAATACTTGCGATCGTGCCTTTTTCGAGCGTTTCTGTGTAGATCTGATTAATTCTGGCTGTTAGCAGCCTTTTTTCTCTTGGTCGTCTGGTGACAGCATGTTACCACAGACTTTGTTTACAACATTCTGCTGAAGTTGTCACATCCCGCGAGGTGTTGTGATCGTTGGTGCCGGCCTGCCCGCTGCCGGCGTGCCGGCAAACGAGGGCCCTCCCACTTTGGGGGTCTTCTAGCGTAAAGGACCAGCGACCTGGCCGTCAGCTCGGACGTCTGCCAGATCGCTGTACTGTTCCAGGGAGGCCAGATCTGTGAACCATTGTGGGAAGGTCAGATCCGTCAGCAGAATATGCTGGTGGATCTTTCGTCTAAAGAAAAACCCACTCAAGCTGGTGTCACTTTTTTCTCTTCGAAAATAACAAAATGTGTGATACATTACTAAGGACGCAACCGCAGCCACGTGCATGTCAAGCGAAAGTCAAACTCAAACACGAAAGCCAGGTTCGTCTGGCAGTATGTAGAGGTGCCAGATGTTGTCATTCCGGAGAGGAGCCAGATCCGCCTGTCCGTCCATAGAGAGGCCATATCTGTCTGCCAGCCCGCAGCAGGACCAGACTGCTGCCAGTACACAGCGAGATAGCTCAACAGCTGACTCACCGAGAAGTTGGACTCGTCTAGCATTCCATTATGGCCGAATCCAGATGTCAGTCAACAGACAAACCACTTCCGTCTGGGTTCTCCCTGAGAGGCCGTCTCCGTACCATGACGGCTGGTGTTGCGGCCCGTCGCCGGCTGACCTGATCTGACCTGACCTGACCTGACCTGACTTGGCCGCGGTGCGTTCTGCCGGCGGCAGCCCGGCCGGGTCACACCGCCCTCGCTCTCTGGCGGGCCGGTTGGGTCACACCGCCCTCTGGCGGGTCAGGCTGAGCCACACCGCCCTCTGACGGGCCGGTCGGGTCACACCGCCCTCCGGCAGGCCCGGCCGAGTCACACCACCCTCCGGCAAGCCCGGCCGGGTAACACCGCCCTCTGACGGGTCCGGCTGGGTCACACCGCCCTCTGACGGGCCGGTCGGGTCACACCACCCTCCGGCAGGCCCGGCCGGGTCACACCACCCTCCGGCAGGCCCGGCCGGGTCACACCGCCCTCTGACGGGTCCGGCTGGGTCACACCGCCCTCTGACGGGCCGGTCGGGTCACACCGCCCTCCGGCAGGCCCGGCCGGGTCACACCGCCCTCCGGCAAGCCCGGCCGGGTCACACCGCCCTCTGACGGGTCCGGCTGGGTCACACCGCCCTCTGACGGGCCGGTCGGGTCACACCACCCTCCGGCAGGCCCGGCCGGGTCACACCGCCCTCTGACGGGCCGGTTGGGTCACACCGCCCTCTGGCGGGCCCGGCCGGGTCGCACCGCCCTCTGGCGCGTCCGGCTGGGTCACACCGCCCTCTGGCGCGTCCGGCTGGGTCACACCGCCCTCCGGCAGGCCCGACCGGGTCACACCGCCCTCTGGCGGGCCAGGCACGCGGCGCCGCACGCGCTGCCGCCGCACGCCGTGCCAAGCCACACAAAAACGGCGCCGCCAGGTAATTCGGGCCGTCGGTGCGGCGTTTGAATGGCGCCGGCCGTCGGTGGCCAGTGGCGGCCGGCGGCCGACGACGGCGAGAGGGCGCGCGCTGGACAACCTCTCGGTGGCCGGCGAGCCGCTCCGGAGCGCCGCAGACCGCACCGCGCCACCGTGAGTACTCTCCGGTCGGCAGCCGCCCGCCGGCGCCGGTGGCGTCTGGGCTGACGCGCAACCCGCCGCTGGTGACGTCACTGACAGCGGCGCCGCCGCTGGTGACGTCGCTGGCAGCGGCGCCGGCGTCCGCTGGCTGCGGGGTCCTCAGGCGACCTTCCCGACACCCTGTGGAGGGAAAGGGGGACGGGTGCGTGTGACCTGGGGTCTGGGGTGCCCGTGACTGTACCCCTGGCCGTGCGGCAGCGGCCGGCACATGCTGACAATGGTGAGAGCCGTGTCCTCGTGTCCTCCCAG